TAATAAGCGAGGCAAATTATGAGTTATATTGCACAAACAAATAATTTTTAGTCTAGCGGATAATTTGCCTGTACTCAAATTTGTTTTGGGGTACCCCAAAAAAAAGTTCGCCGACTTCTGCAGTCTAAACCGACAATAGTTTCACAATAAAGAAGATACTAATAAATCTGCCATATTATAAGAGGAGGAAAAAGGGAAGGGCGGGCTCCATGTTTGTCTTATGTCACAAATTCAAACTCGGGTAAGGTCTGTCTCAGAGACGGGGAAGGTAGGGTGGGGGCGAGAGGCCAGGCAGCTTGTGATAGTGAAGGAGTGCGGAGAGAGGCAGAAGGTGCGGAGGCTGAAGAGAGGGAGGCTAAAGAACAGTAGGAGGTAGAGGATGGAAGGTAAAAAAAAATGGTGGAGGACGTAGAATAGAATGGGGGAAGAGGATGAGGATACGGGGAAGATAAAGAGTACGAGGAGGAGAGAGGGGAGGAGGAGGAGGAGGAGGAGGAGGAGGAGGAGGAGGAGCAGCAGCAGGAGCAGGAGCAGCAGGAGCAGCAGGGCAGGAGCAGCAGGCAGCAGCAGGCAGCAGCGAGCAGCAGCAGCAGCAGCAGCAGCAGCAGCAGCAGCAGCAGCAGCAGCAGCAGCAGCAGCAGCAGCAGCAGCAGCAGCAGCAGCAGCAGCAGCAGCAGCAGCAGCAGCAGCAGCAGCAGCAGCAGCAGCAGCAGCAGCAGCAGCACAGCAGCAGCGCAGCAGCAGCAGCAGCAGCAGCAGCAGCAGCAGCAGCAGCAGCAGCAGGAGGAGGAGGAGGAGGAGAAGAGAGGAGGTTCAAAGGTTAGGAAAGACAATGGGAGAGAGGAAGGAGGGCAAAAGAAAGAGAAGGGAGAAAGATAGAAAGAGGCGGGATAGGACGATGAGAGAGAGAGAAACAAGCCACTAATTGGATCACAAGCATCAAGAGTGGAGGTAATAGTGACGGAACCTTCATAACTGTACCAAGAACCACCTAACATACATTACAGTGCTCAGCAAGATACAGTCACAATACAGTGCTGCCAACAAGATACAGCCATAATACAGTGTTGTCAACACGATACAGTCACTCCTACATAAAGCAGCCATCAGTTAAGAGAGACTATTAAATGCAATACTAAATTTACAAACCTGTATTAAGGGAAAAAAAATGACTGAGGTGGAGAAGCCTGCAGCGGAATTCTGTTTGTTTATTCAGTGTACTTTGGTGCCGTAACTCCTAGCAAGCAGCCGTAAATTTATATCATTCGCAGGTATAAAGTGTGGCGGGCAGACAATATACGAGGCAGTGGCCTCCTGGTGGAGCGAGTTGAACACTGCTACCCCAGAGGCTCCCCGCTCTGCCTTTCCTAGCGAAATAGGAAAAGGTGTCGCTTTGACACAGGTCTCTGTTATATGATGACCCGTTAAGTGGTAAAGCATCCGATAGCCTAGCCCAGCTAGGTTTAAACCCCATTTAAAAAAAATAGACGAAGACAAAGTAGTGATGTCCTAACAAATAATGTCTCTTCTTTGATCTTACCTCTTGTATAAACTGTCTTAGTAATGTTGCCTGAGTTAGGAAAGGTCTTTAATATCACTCTGCTTGTATACATCACCAAGCCTGCCAAGAGACACGATTTATTACGAATTATATTGTACAAATGGCCGTTATTCCTGCTTGAAGTCTTCTGTGTAATTTATCTATATTTTTTATAATACGAATACTGAGAACAACATTCCTGCTATTTCAAGCCAAATGAAGCTCACACAATAGTTTAACTGAGAAGCGAGGAAGGAGACCCAAGATAAAGTACCATCTGGTGGAAAATAAGTCACCAGAGAGAGAGAGAGAGAGAGAGAGAGAGAGAGAGAGAGAGAGAGAGAGAGAGAGAGAGAGAGAGAGAGAGAGAGAGAGAGAGAGAGAGAGAGAGAGAGAGAGAGAGAGTGTGTACTCACCTAGTTGTACTCACCTAGTTGAGGTTGCGGGGGTCGAGTCCGAGCTCCTGGCCCCGCCTCTTCACTGATCGCTACTAGGTCACTCTCCCCGAGCCGTGAGCTTTATCATACCTCTGCTTAAAGCTATGTATGGATCCTGCCTCCACTACATCGCTTCCCAAACTATTCCACTTACTGACTACTCTGTGGCTGAAGAAATACTTCCTAACATCCCTGTGATTCATCTGTGTCTTTAGCTTCCAACTGTGTCCCCTTGTTGCTGTGTCCAAACTCTGGAACATCCTGTCTTTGTCCACCTTGTCAATTCCCCTCAGTATTTTGTATGTCGTTATCATGTCCCCCCTATCTCTCCTGTCCTCCAGTGTCGTCAGGTTGATTTCCCTTAACCTCTCCTCGTAGGACATACCTCTTAGCTCTGGGACTAGTCTTGTTGCAAACCTTTGCACTTTCTCTAGTTTCTTTACGTGCTTGGCTAGGTGTGGGTTCCAAACTGGTGCCGCATACTCCAATATGGGCCTAACGTATACGGTGTACAGGGTCCTGAACGATTCCTTATTAAGATGTCGGAATGCTGTTTTGAGGTTTGCTAGGCGCCCATATGCTGCAGCAGTTATTTGGTTGATGTGCGTTGATGTGTGTGTGTGTGTGTGTGTGTGTGTGTGTGTGTGTGTGAGTGTGTGTGTGTGTGTGTGTGTGTGAGTGTGAGTGTGTGTGTGTGTGTATGTATATGTATGTGTGTGTGTGTGTGTGTGAGTGTGAGTGTGTGTGTGTGTATGTGTGAGTGTGAGTGTACTCACCTAGTTGTACTCACCTAGTTGAGGTTGCGGGGGTCGAGTCCGAGCTCCTGGCCCCGCCTCTTCACTGATCGCTACTAGGTCACTCTCCCTGAACCGTGAGCTTTATCATACCTCTGCTTAAAGCTATGTATGAATCCTGTGCGTGTGTGAGTGTGAGTGTGTGTGTGTGTATGTGTGAGTGTGAGTGTGTGTGTGTGTATGGTGATCATGTTTTCCTTGGTTCTCCTACTGTTTATTCTCATAAATGCTCAAGGCGATGTCCAGTCTTGTATTTATGTTTTTCTTAAATCTAATTTTCTTACAAGACATCACGCTTTTCCTGATCATTGTAATATTCTCTGGAAAAGATGGAAACAAACTACACGAAGACTCAGACAAATTGAACTAGTGATTCAATACACGCCTACCGGAGCTGAATCCATGTAAGTTCAAGGTTACGAAAATTTTGAAAGGTCTACGAACACCAGAAGAAAAACTGAAAGTGAACCTCACATGAAAAACTGCGCTAGAGGTGTGTATAAAACTCAGAACTTAGATAGCAAATATGAGCTAAGTTTGTCTATGAATGATTTACATTGACCTTGACAAAGAATTAGGCCTCTATGAACGATATGTTATGCCTGTCATAGAGTATACTGCACCACCATGGAACCCACACTATGTCAAACTCCTTCAAACCCTCAAGAATTTGAAATGCTTCGTAAACATCACTAATCATGGGGCTGAGGTGATTCAGCTGTGAAAATAAACTAAGAATTAAACCCAAAGACATTAGGAAACAGACATGGAGAGAGGAAATTTAAACATATAAAACACTAAAAAGAAATGACGAGAGAGAGTAACAGGGAAGAAAGGTTTAGAAACAGAGATATTAGAAAGAGTCTCACTGTAATGGTGCAGTTGGAAGGAGGGGGAAGGCAAACCCCTCGAACAGTTACGAGAGTTGGTACGACAGCTCCCAAAAATAGGTCAGTGCCATTAACGCTGCTCAGTCGTAGGTTAAGAGGCGGGGCCATGAGCTGAGACTCAACACCCACGGTGAGTATACATGCACACATGAGCGAGTACTTGTATTACCAGAGTACCAGAGGAAACTTTGTCCTTGATAAAAACAGAAATTTTGAAATATAAAATAGAACAACGAGGATTCCACTGGAAACAAACGAGGGGGCACCACTGGAAACAAACGAGGGGGGCACCACTGGAAACAACAAGGGGGCACCACTAGAGAAAGAACGAGGGAAAATGGTTGGAAATCAGAAGTTAAACTGAGCTTAAGAAACACGTTAAATAGTTTTTTTCAGCATAAGAATAGTAATCAAATAACATGTATCAGGAAGGGATACAGCAGAGACCATCTCATTACACCGCTCCATAACAGACACGATATCTCATAAGGGCAGGAAGTAAATTATTTCAATTTAACACACACACACACACACACACACACACACACACACACACACACACACACACACACACACACACACACACACACACACACACACACATACACACACACACACACAGACGCACACAGGTGAGTAATGCCCTGCTTAGTTACATGATTCCATAAATTATATGTGACTCACGAGCGGGAGGGGAGGAAAAGACCTGGTTATTATCTAGATAGAGTCGATCACTGCAGTGTTTGTGACCGCGGAAGAGGACACTGATAATCACCGCTGCGGTGCACTGTGTCGTCCTACCTATGCAGTCTGTGATTCACCATAAGCAACATCTGAATTTGAGATACTACAAGCGTAACACTCTTAGTGTTCGTCATACCTAAATTTACTGTGATATTTCTGTAATCTCTCTGTAGTATCTCTGTATTTCTCTCAAAAAGAACTATTTCTGTCATTAGTCCCTTCCCATCAGATAATCACTTTCTTAATTATCAAGTACATTCATTAAACTCCATGAATTTCCACACCTTATCCAACTCTAAAACTTATATGTCAAAACAGAAGTTACAGACAAATCTGAGTTTTTACAGATGAATTATGAGAGTGTTTTTGTACTCTGCAACACAGTATTACATGTAAATCAATACACGTTTAATAACAAAACAATTCTCACCTGCTCAGTTTTCACCAGCCTTTTACTGTTTTCTTCTTATTACTGATCCTTGATAATGTGAGAAATCACGAAAGCGCTTTCAATTTCGTTATTTTTTTTCACAGTGGTTGTTTTGCATATTGTGATATCACCTATTTACTGTGATCTTATTGCATTATTACATACCTTGAGGAGGATCTCAGAGATCTCGCCTGAGTGGAGGATGACCTTGTCGGAGGCGACCTGCTCGCCGGTGTTGAGGAGGGAGGCTCTGATGGTGAGGAGCTGAGAGGTGCTGAGAGCCTCCACAGCCACCCTGTACACTGACCCTGGCACCACATTCCTGCCACCTACCACAACCCACTTCCTGCAACACAACCAAAGAGGTACGTTAGAGACACCGGCAACACAACCAAGGAGGTACTTTACTGACACCATGGACACAGAATACTTTCTGAAACACACTTGTTCACACTCTCCACAACTTGTTACAACAACTATTTGTTTTCAGCACATCGGCCGTCTCCCACCGAGGCTGGGTGACCCGAAAAAGAAGAAACACTTTCATTATCACTCACTTTTAGTGACTCCACCAACACAAAACTTTCTTGTTGCAACACAACTCTGGAGGCCACAGGCCCGTAGTCACAAGAAGTCACTGTGAACACTAAACATACACAAAAAAAAAAACAGAAATCTGTGCTCCCCGAACACTGATGGATGCTCTCCTGATCCTAACTACTCGCACAATGTATCAACTTGCCCAGGAGATAACCACAACACTTACTAAGGGATAATCATAACAGATTAACAAGAATGATCCCGGAAACTGATGGTCTGACGTGATGCATTGTTTCTTGTTTGACTGTATTAATTGTTATACATTGTTTCTTGTTTAACTTTGTATTATTATCTATTGTTTCTGCACTGTTTTTTTTTATGGTATTTTTAGTTAGTATGTCTCTAAAAATATTCTTATGAAAATGACTGTTTGTTAGTTGTTTTAATTTGTTAATGTTCAGCACATAATTAGGAGCTTAATTAAATAGTACTCAAATGAGTCCAAGAATTTTTTCTTGGGTCTGACAAAGCAAAAAGAATGATCAATTTTTCATCTCTCCTCCCCTACGAAGAAAAAATTGGAGGCCTTTCTAAAGGTTTAAGTGTTGCTGATGTTGGTACTCTCGTTCTGACCAGAGGCTAGTGTTGGTACTCTCGTTCTGACCAGTGACTGGTGTTGGTACTCTCGTTCTAACCAGTGGCTAGTGTTGGTACTCTCGTTCTAACCAGTGGCTAGTGTTGGTACTCTCGTTCTGACCAGTGGCTAGTGTTGGTACTCTCGTTCTAACCAGTGGCTAGTGTTGGTACTCTCGTTCTGACCAGTGACTTGTGTTGGTACTCTCGTTCTGACCAGCAGCTAGTGTTGGTACTCTCGTTCTGACCAGTGGCTAGTGTTCGTACTCTCGTTCTGACCAGCAGCTAGTGTTGGAACTCTCGTTCTGACCAGTGGCTAGTGTTGGTACTCTCATTCTGACCAGTGGTTGATACTGGTACTCTGGCTCCTACAAGTGACTAGTGTTGGTACTCATCTTCTGACATGAAGCTTTCCTCACTGACTTACCCAAGCCAGCTCAGGCTGATACAGTTCACCAACTCGTTCGAGTCACATCCTGCGTGACGGGAAACAGAATCTGTTCCCAAAGTTCTGCCTCCTCTCCGGTTTTCTTACAATTTCCAGCCACATTTCCCTCTTATAAAATATACTTCATAGCCTCTTAGCTCTATGTTTAATTCTTCTTATGGTGGTTTATTTAGAAGTGAAAACCATTCTTTACTTATAATTCCTATTACTATTTTAATATTAACTATTGTCGGATACTACTGCTGATGTACAACTACTAGGAGAGGAACACCAGAGATTTAACAATCAATCGAGTTTTAGCAATTTTCTTCTAACACTTCGCTGATTTGGCTGTCTTACTGGATAAGATTATTTCTTCAATAACGTTGATTTAATTGTGGGTTTTTCATTTGTTCTCGTATTTTTGTTTTTAAATGAAACTCACACAATAGCCACGTTTGGGAAATACCAGTATTTCACCCGGTGATCCAGGGCAAAACTTGGCATATATAAATCGTGCATATTTATGTATATGCGGATATCCGTAACAGATCTCCGGTTTTGGGACGATTAGTTAGTGAATATCTCTGAAGATTACGAGGCAGGTTAGAAAGACAAGCGAATACTGGGATATATTTATTAGTAAAAGTTTCGATCCTGGGACCTAAACGTGTCTAGTACTTGCTCACGTGTCATTTTAAACCATTTACCAAGATTTATACCATTACGAGACGGAGGATCGAGTATTTACCTCTTCTATGCTCAGATTTAAATACACAAGCAGCTCTGCGTAACGCGAGGATAGAATACAGTTTGGGAGTGAGTCTCGGGTTAACATACGGAGGATCGAGTCTCCAGCATTTCCTGCAATGAATGACCCACAAGGACGGTGGATCAAGTTTCCGCTGCTCCATATGATGAATGACCTACAAGGACGGTGGCTCTCACAGTTAAAATGATTTACATAACTGGCTGAGAAGTGATCTTTGTGAAAGTGGGAGATAGTAAGGGGGAGAGATGATGATGGGGGAGAGATGGTGAGGGGAAGAGATGGTGAGGGTAAAAGAAGAGGAAGAGTGAGGGGAGGGTAGTAAGCGGCGAGTTTGAAAGTAAGATAAGTAACTTAACACTGGTCATTGATGACTCTCAATACAGGTGGTGATCCAAGTTATCGTAAATGTGAACGAGCTTGGAAACCAGCTGATCCTTCCCATACTCAGTGACCGATAACACTGTTGATGTTTGTGTTTGACACTGTAGCCAGTGATATTGTTTGACACTGTAGCCAGTGATATTGACACTGTAGCCAGTGATATTGTTTGACACTGTAGCCAGTGATATTGTTTGACACTGTAGCCAGTGATATTGTTTGACACTGTAGCCAGTGATATTGTTTGACACTGTAGCCAGTGATATTGTTTGACACTGTAGCCAGTGATATTGTTTGACACTGTAGCCAGTGATATTGTTTGACACTGTTGCCAGTGATATTGTTTGACACTGTAGCCAGTGATATTGTTTGACACTGTAGCCAGTGATACTGTTTGACACTGTAGCCAGTGATATTGTTTGACACTGTAGCCAGTGATATTGTGTTAGACACTGTAGTCAGTGTCAATGAGTCGCGGCTCCCATCGCTGAAGTCTGGGGATCAAATCTCCGACAGGAAAAAGAAAATAATTAATATATTTTAACAATAGTTTCTACTATTGTCACAATCCCAGGTGTTATGTGGTGTCGGAGGTAGGTGAGGTCTTCCGGATGTTACTAATATATAGCCACCATCCGGCAGCCCAACATGTACTCACTTGTACTCACCAGGTTGAACTCGTCTGGTTGGTTGCTTGCTAAATGCTTTCATTAATTCGGGCCTAACCGTAAGTTCAAAGCAATTCTTGCGAGTTAGTTCTAGCGGCATTCCTATGTAACAGTAACATCAGCTCTCCTGGAAGGAAACATCAGCAGGAGTTGCTGGACCCACTGCTGGACCCACTGCTGGACCCACTGCTGGACCCACTGCTGGACTCACTGCCGGACCCACTGCTGGACCCACTCCTGGACCCACTCCTGGACCCACTTCTGGACCCACTGCTGGACCCACTGCTGGACCCACTGCTGGACCCACTGCTGGACCCACTGCTGGACCCATTCCTGGACCCACTCCTGGACCCACTCCTGGATCCACTCCTGGACCCACTCCTGGACCCACTCCTGGACCCACTCCTGGATCCACTCCTGGACCCACTTCTGGACCCACTCCTGGACCCACTCCTGAACCCACTCCTGGACCCACTTCTGAACCCACTCCTGGACCCACTCCTGGACCCACTCCTGGACCCACTCCTGGACCCACTCCTGGACCCACTCCTGGACCCACTCCTGGACCCACTCCTGGACCCACTCCTGGACCCACTCCTGGACCCACTCCTGGACCCACTCCTGGACCCACTCCTGGACCCACTCCTGGACGACAATTTCGTCACCCTACTGAAGCCTCCCAGCTCAGGCTAACGTATTTCATTACTCCATAGTAGTAGTAGTAGTAGTAGTAGTAGTAGTAGTAGTAGTAGTAGTAGTAGTAGTAGTAGTAGTAGTAGTAGTAGTAGAAGTAGTAATATATGGAAGGAAAGGATAATTCCAGAACCAAGGGAGACTTTTGTAAGTTATATAGTATCTGTCTCGTGTAAGTCACAGCTTCCATCAGTGACTTTTGTCAATCACCGCCATCATCAGTAGGTAATGGGTCCAGTCCTGGACCCATTACCTACCTCTGTAATAATCCTTTGACTACCACGCACACCATGGGTATGGGGTGACTACTACCCACACCATGGGTATGAGGTGCATAATCAAGATATGAAGCTGAACTTGAGCTGGGCACCACGGAGTAGTCTCCTTAATGCCACTGAGGGGTCCTTGATCAAGAAAACTGGAACTTCGGGTGCCACTGACGATGACAGAAGTGTGTTGATGTTGACAAAAACGTGTTGATGTTGACAAAAACTTGTTGATGGTGACAGAGGTGTGAAGATGGTGACAGAAGTGTGTTGGTGGTGGCAGAATCATGTTGACGGTGGCAGAAATGTGTTGACGGTTTCAGATTAACTGTTTATCAAGCCACCTTGGACTACACCCGTCAATACTATCTCCTCTGTCTACTTACAAGATTTTTCGACAAGAAAATCAACCGAAACGCTTTCAGAAAACACAGGTCTGTCACTTCTCCTGCATTCTCTGACAGCACCCACAGCCTGGCTGGTCAGATACCTTACCTAAACTAGCATACGAGACATTTTAAACTAATAACTAATAACACTGAACATGTTAAAAATATATCGCAGAAGAGGTCGACATTTCTTAGAAATGAGCGATCTCTCCCAAACCCATGTTGAGATAATGGTGCTGTTGATGTTGCAATATTGAATTGATGGTGCTGTTGATGTTGCAATATTGAATTGATGGTGCTGTTGATGTTGCAATATTGAATTGATGGTGCTGTTGATGTTGCAATATTGAATTGATGGTGCTGTTGATGTTGCAATATTGAATTGATGGTGCTCTTGATGTTGCAATATTGAATTGATGGTGCTCTTGATGTTGCAATATTAAACTGATGGTGCTCTTGATGATGCAATATTGAATTGATTGTGCTCTTGATGTTGCAATATTGAATTGATGGTGCTCTTGATGTTGCAATATTGAATTGATGGTGCTCTTGATGTTGCAATATTGAGTTGATGGTGCTC